AGATCCAAGTTCGTGAGTCGCAGAGCCAAGGATTCAAATGTAAATTGCAAATACAAACGTCCACTCAACACACCAATAGTAATTCAGGTGAGTAAAGTAAAGGTAAAGGTTCCCTTGCTTGAAAGCCAGTCGAATCCGACTCTAGGGTTGCGGTGCTCATCTCCGTTTCAAAGCCGAAGAGCCAGCGCTGTCCAAAGATGTTTCCATGGTCATGTGGCCAGCATGACTAAACACCAAGGCGCACGGAACGCTGTTACGCACCTGAACGCAGGTGAGTAGTTATGCCAATAAAGGTTATTGGAATTGGAACTGGACTTCAGGCGAGTAGAAAGCTCTGTTCCTGAAGACTTAAAAGTTCTGTTCATACGGCAGCTCTGCAAAAGTTTAGTTCTAGCTAGTGTATTTTTGGAGGTTTAATTATACAGAGGAGTTTTTCCTTTTTTAAAATATTCTCTTCATCTGTATATCTCGCTTCTATTGCTAACCTACAGGAAGTGCCTGAAGATCTGCATTTAACATTGATCTCCAAATTACAGAGATCAGCTCCCGTGGAGAAAATGGCTTGGAAGGTGGAGCCTATGGTGTTGCACCCTGCTGAGGCCCCTCCCCTCCCCAAGCCCCACCCTCTTGAGGCTCCGCCCCCAAACCTCCAGATATTTTTCAATCCAGTCCTGGCAATGCTATTTCTTGGTTCGCACTGGTCTGTCTGTCTGTCTGTCTGTCTGTCTGTCAATAGATCTCTGCTCATACAGCTATCACCTTAAGCAGAAATTAGGATAACAAAAAATATTTTAAAACACCTTACCCAGTATTGTTTCTCTTTGATTATTGCGCCCAGGAGTCATTTCCTGCAGGAGCGCACAGGAGCAGAGCTCCAGCAGTAAAGAGCCCAGGGGGCAAGCACATGCAACAAGCCCCACCCCTCGCTCCCAGCAGCCCTCAGTCAGAGCAAGAAGCAGCCAAGTAAGTTGCAGAGCCCCCCCCCCCGGCCCCCTGGTCCAAAACAGTCCAGTGGCACCTTTAAGACCAAGTTTTATTCAGGCACAAGCTCTCCCTCCTCTGTGAGGACAGATCTGCACGTTCCCCCCTCCCCCAGTAGCTAGCAATCCAAAACAGTCCAGTGGAGCCTGAGCTGTGGGTGTTGCCTTCTGACATGCTTCCGGTGATGTCAGGGGGTGTGGCATATGCAAATAAGTCATGCTAATGAGCTCCTGCACCTCTTTTTCTACTGAGTGACCCCTGATTGCGCCTATGAATTTTGCCACTGAGAGGGTGACACGATCATTCATATTCGATAGTAGCCATGGCACTTGGGCCCGCACATTTAGAAATTCCCCCTCCTTAAGTATGGTAAAAGGTAAAGGTTCCCTTGCTCGAAAGCCAGTCGAATCCGACTCTAGGGTTGCGGTGCTCATCTCCGTTTCAAAGCTGAAGAGCCAGCGCCGTCCGAAGACATTAAGGGGTGACTAAATTAGCCCTCGACTCGATGGTTTCCCTCTGTTCATACAATCGCATGTGGATGTGTTGGCGTGCTTGCCAGCTACCGTTCTGCGTTTCCGCGCCTGCATCTTTGACAGCTGCTTACCGTGCAGAAAGACTTCCACCAAAGGCACAGGAGCAAAGCTGGGGAGAAAGCTGGCGACCCGAACCCAAGCTCAGGTTGCTGTGCGCCTGGCCCGATTTCTCCCCACACTCGCCCACACCTCTCCTGCTTTCCGTGCCCCCCCCCCGCTGCTTCCTGTGTTTTGACATGGAGACGCACAAGACTTTTGTTTTCCTCGAAGCCAGGAGACTGAATCAATATTTACCCTCCCAGACCTTGCAGGGACACAATAGCATGTGCTGCTAGATACCGTCTGGTCTGGTCGCAAGCCAGGGAACACCCGGGGATGTGCCGACCAAGGACGCAGGAGGGGGAGGGACCCAAGTCTGCCTGGTGGTGGGTGGGCAGGTCCAGCGTTCCCTCTAAGCTGAGTTAGTGTGAGTTAGCTCACCGTTTTTTTTAGCCACCGGCTCACACATCTTTTGTCTCTGGACAAAATATTTTGTCTCGCCCTCTGGAGGGTGGCTCCCGAGCAAACGGCTCGCTCGCAACTCGAATGCCGGTAGCTCACAAAGTAGGATTTTTTGCTCACGAGACTCCACGGCTTAGAGGGAGCATTTGTATGGATGCCAAAGAAGACTCAGAAACCCTTTCTGGGCAACATCCGGCATTCGGGGAGCGTGCAGTACCCGAGGGCACTGCTTCCATGAGAAGGCCCAGGGCAGTGCCAACGGGTGCATATTTGGCAGGCTTTCAGAGCTGTCGCCATACAAAGCGAAACTCAGCTTGTTTGGGTCGGAGGGGGGTCTCTCCTGATCCTGCAGGCTTTGCAGCTGAATGCACAGGTGTTGGGGGGGCAGCGGGGGCTATGCCTCCCCTCTCCTCCATGCATCTGCTGATTGCTGGATGTTGTCCTTATGTCTGTTGTCTGAAAAGGGCTTCGATTATGCAGGGACGGCGGATGTCATCGGGGTCAAACAGGCCAGCAGATACAACCTGGAAGTTCTGGGTACTATTTCTACCCCTCCCTCCCCCGTTGGAGAAGCATATGTGGCAGAGGTCCATCAGTGGCTATTAGCCACAAGGTATAGATGGAACACTCTGTCTGGGGCAGTGAAGCTCTGTAGTCTTGGTGCTTGGGGGGGGGCAATAGTGGGAGGGTTTCTGGAGTTCTGGCCCCGCTGGTGGACCTCCCGATGGCACCTGGGTTTTGGCCACTGTGTGACACGGAGTGTTGGACTGGATGGGCCATTGGCCTGATCCAACATGGCCTCTCTTACGTTCTTATATCTGGGGCAAGTGATGCCTTCTGTCTTCTTGCTGCTTGGGCGGGGCACAGTGGGAGGGCTTGTGGCATTCTGGCCCCGCTGGTGGACCTCCCGATGGCCACGGGGTTTTGGCCACTGTGTGACACAGAGTGTTGGACTGGGTGGGCCACTGGCCTGATCCAAGATGGCTTCTCTTATGCTCTTATACTGAGTACAGATCCACGAGTAGCCACAAGATATAGATGGAAGACTCTGTCTGGGACAGTGATTGTCTGTATTTTTGGTGCTTGGGGGGCAAGCGTGGGAGGGCTTCTGGAGATCTGGCCCCGCTGGTGGACCTCCTGATGGCACCTGGGTTTTGGCCACTGTGTGACAACACAGAGTGTTGGACTGGATGGGCCATTGGCCTGAACCAACATGGCTTCTCTTATGTTCTTATGTCTAGGACAGTGATACTCTGTATTATTGGTGCTCAGGGGGGGGACAGTGGGAGGGTTTCTGGAGTTCTGACCCTATAGTGGACCTCCTGATGGCACCTGGGTTTTGGCCACTGTGTGACAGAGCGTTGGACTGGATGGGTTACTGGCCTGATCCAACATGGCTTCTCTTATGTTCTTATGTCTGGGGCAGTGATGCTCTATATTATTGGTGCTTGTGGGAGGGTTTCTGGGCAACAGTGGCCTCCCTTGTGGTCTTATCAGCCAGTGTCTATGGAGAATCCCCTGAATCGACTGCCCAAGACCACCCCCTCTCCTCTTTGTAAACCCAGCCACGTTTCCGGCATTTAGATACACGCGCAGTGGTCCCCACTCGATCTGGCATCCACCAATCGACTCCCGCGCACAAAGCCAAGCTGTGACGCTGGAAGGCTTTGAGCGTACGGCAATGAGGAGTGGTGCTGGTGGGGAACCTTTTATCCCAAAAAGACGGGACCCACTGGGGCAGATCTCATTCACTCCCCCCCAAAAAACAGTTCACCTTACCTCGGCACACGCGTTGTTTGGCCCCCGACAGGATCCCTGGGGTGTCGATGAGGCTAATGCTCTCCAGCACTTGATTGGGCAAGTGGGCGCACATGAACCTAAGGAGGACAGAGGCAGCCAGTCAGGGCGAAGGAAGGCAGCGGAAACTCCGAGGATGGAGGATCTCACACGTATAACAGAAGCACTCGAGGGCCATGCAAACCAGGACACCTGCCGAGTAGCAGCTGACTTATAGCGACCCCCATAGGGTTTTCAGTGCAGGAGGTGGGGTGTTTTTGCCATGGCTTGCCTCTGCAGAGCGACCGTGGACTTCCTTGGTGGTCTCCCACCCAAGTGCTAACCAGGGCCGACCCTGCTTAGCTTCTGAGATCTGATGAGACTGGGCTAGCCTGGGCCATCCAGGTCAGGGCAGAGTTAAACAGAGGTGGTTGGTTTGCTGTCGCCTGCCTCTGCAGAGCAACCCTGGGCTTCCTCCGTGGTCTCCCATCCAGGGGTCATTTCCTGCAGGAGCGCACAGGAGCGGAGCTCCGGCAGTAAAGAGCCAAGGGGGCGGGCACATGCAACAAGCCCCACCCCCTGCTCCTTCTCTCCCT